TGCACCCATCTACGCCAACAGATGCTATAAAAGAAGAGCTCATGGGTATGGGATTCCATGTTCGCCAGATAGTGAACATATTCAAGGAGGATAAAGAACATCCTGGAATAAAAAATAAAATACCTCTTCCACTATTCTTCGTTGAGCTTGACCGAACACCCGATGTCGAAAACATCTACAAGGTCACACGCCTTTATTATACAAGCGTTGTTGTAGAAAAGCCCTACAGCAAGCGCGACATCGTTCAATGCCATAACTGCCAGGCTTATGGCCATACGAAACGGTATTGTCATCACATTCCTAGATGTGTGAGGTGTGGTGAGCAACAAAAAACAGAGGACTGTAGGAAGTCAAGAACTTCACCTGCAGTATGCGCTTTATGCCACCAAGGACACCCAGCCAACTACAAGGGTTGTCAAACATATAAAAATTTAAAAACACGAATGTACGCAACGCCTAGAGAAGAAGGGACATCCAGGCCACCAAGACAACCGTCTAGAACAGTGAATGGAAGAGTGTCCTATGCTCAGATGTTCAAAGGAGACACTGTAAACACTCAATCTCAGGCCCTGCCACAAGAACCTAAACCTCAAGAATTCACACATCAACCTCAAGACCCATATCCCTCCATCCCCGAACGTAGGTTAAATACTCATACATTCATTCCTCCTCCTTCCAATTCCACTGACCTCACAAGCCTACTGACATCTTTCCTTTCCGAATTTAGATCTCTCATTACCCCTCTTATTTCGCTACTTACCAATGTTATATCCAACCTCATTCCACTGCCAAGAAATCCATAAATGCCCTCAACCAAATTCCTCTCCATTCTCCTTTGGAATGCGAATGGTATTCGGAACCACATCAACGAACTGACAATCTTATTACATGACAAAAACATCGACATAGCACTAATAACTGAAACTCGACTAACCAACAAACGACAAATCAACGTTCCCGGTTACAATATTTATCGAACCGAACATCCTGATGGAACAGCTCATGGTGGCACTGCCATAATTATCCATAGATCCGTTTCCCATCATTTGTTTCCCTTACCAAGCCATAATTTCCTACAACCCACAGCCGTAATAATCCAAACACCCCTTTACCCAATAACACTAGTTGCGGCATATTCCCCGCCTAAAACACCCATTTCCGAATCCCAAATAATTTCCTTCCTGAATTCCTTAGGACACCACTTCCTCCTAGGTGCAGATCTAAATGCAAAACACCAGCAATGGGGAGCCAGATCCACAAATTCCCGAGGGCGAACATTGCTATCTGCACTTAATTCCCATCGCAGCAACATCCTTTCACCTAATACTCCCACATACTGGCCAACTGATCCCAACCGCAATCCCGACCTTTTAGACTTTTTCCTACACAAAGGTCTAGGATCACTACACTGCTCTATTTCAAGGTTTGATGATATTTCCTCAGACCATAGTTCTCTAGTCCTAACCGTTTCCACATCTCCCATTCCCAAATCATCCCCACCTTCATTTATCAGGGGGCCAGTTAACTGGAACCTTTTCCGTCAAATACTGAAAGATAATATAGACCTCAGAGTTTCCTTAAAAACACCTGAAGACCTCGACGATGCAGTGCATTCCTTCACTACCCTGATCCAGCAAGCAGCTTGGACTGCATCCTCACCTGATCGTCCCAAAAAATACCACAACATAAATCCTTTACCTCAAGACCTACTGGACCTTATCCATAGCAAACGTTGCTCTAGGACCCTTTGGCAAAGAACCAGGCATCCTGATGACCGGATATCATATAATTATTATTCCAAACAGGTAAAAAAGAAACTGGATACCTTTAGAACCCAATCCTACAATTCCTACCTCTCCTCATTATCCGCTAGTGATAACTCCCTCTGGAATGTAACCAAAAAAATCCATAAATTCCAGTCCATTTCCCATCCACTTCGCCGTGATGATGGTTCCTGGGCTTCGTCAGATGCGAATAGAGCCGAAGAGTTTGCTAAACATTTATCCTATACGTTCAACCCTCATCCCGAACTCCATCCCACCCACACTGCTGAAGTTGAAAAAATCCTCTCTTCACCAATTCCTCTCTCTCTACCTCCAAAACCTGTTAACCCCTCTGAGGTCAAATTCTTTATAAACAAATTAAAACACCGAAAATCCCCTGCATATGATCTCCTCACTTCACAAATCCTCAGACAACTTCCCAAAAAAGCAATCATATTCCTTACCTATCTATACAACTGCATCCTTCGTACCACCAACTTTCCTTTGGTGTGGAAACACTTCATGATCATCCTGTTTCCAAAACCAGGTAAACCTGTTAATAACACATCATCCTATAGACCGATAAGCTTACTCCCGATCCTCTCAAAAATCTTTGAGAAAATCCTTCTCAAACGCATCCTACCCATAATCGAATCCCACAACATCCCTTCTCATCAGTTTGGATTCCGCTCAAGACATTCCACTGTCCAACAAGGCCTTCGTGTTGTGGACCATATATCCTCTGCACTTGAAAACAAGCATTATTGCACTGGTGCCTTTCTGGACGTAGCGCAAGCTTTCGACCGGGTGTGGCACGATGGCTTGCTTTTCAAGCTCAAAACCTATTTACCCCAATCCTTATACCTAGTCCTCAAATCCTACCTCTCAAATCGTTCCTTTCAAGTCCGTTGTGACACCGAATTCTCCACTTACTATCCAGTTGAGGCTGGTGTTCCACAAGGCAGTGTCTTGGGCCCAGTTCTCTACATCCTCTTCACTTCCGATATCCCTTCAAATCCCCATACATTTCTAGCTACATTTGCTGATGATACTGCCATTCTATCCTCCCCCTCAGATCCTCAAATAGCATCTCTAAACCTACAATCTCACCTCTCAAAATCAATGAATCAAAATGCAAACATATCACTTTTACCCTGCGACGCAGATCCTGTCCGCCAATCCTTTTTAATTCAATTCCACTTCCCTACTCAGACACAGTCCGTTACCTTGGCTTCCTTCTTGACAAAAGACTAACTGGGAACCCACATACCAGACTTAAAAGACAAGAACTTAACCGACGATATGGCCAGCTGTATAAATTACTAAGTAGGACATCCCATCTTTCGATTGAAAATAAACATTTAATCTACAAGACCATCATACTGAAACCTATCTGGACCTACGGACTTGAACTGTGGGGAACTGCTAAACATTCGAATATCAAACGCATCCAATCCTTCCAGTCTAAAGTACTCAGAACAATAGTTTATGCTCCATATTATGTCACAAACAAGACCCTACACCATGACCTTAACATCCCATTTGTCCTCGACATCATCCCATCCAGATTCTCAAATTTTCACCAGAACCTTATCCATCATCCAAATCCTCTAGCTCAATCCCTATCCAGCTCCCTTCATCCCTACAATCCTCCACGAAGGTTAAAACGGCAGTGGCCCAGAGATCTCTTGTAAATATGCTTCTGGAGTCCTGGCAATGGCCAGCATCTTCACTCATGTCCTGAGCGTCTGTGGCTCTAGTGCCCTCTTTCAGTCTCCACTGGCTTCTAATACTAGTGATGCGGCTGGTTAATGGGCTCGGGTGTTCTCCGGGTGGATGGCTGGGCACTTCTTGGTGGGGTTAAAGCTGGATCAGGTGAGGCAAGGGCGAAGGTGGGTGGGGTGTGTGGGTGTGTGGGGTGTGTGGGGTGTGTTGGGGACGAAATGTTTATAGGTTTTTTAGTGGGTGTTTGGGGGGGGTAGGGGGGGGGATGTGTGGGTTAGGGTTGATGGGGGGTGGGTAAGGGTAGTGGGTTGGGGGTAGGTGTGTGGTTTTGTGGGGGTAGTGTGTTAGGGGGTTTTGGTGTGAGGGATTGAGGTGGGGGTGTTGGTGGAATGTTTTTTAATGTTGTAAGGGTAGTGATTGGCGGGGTTAGGAATGGGGGGAGGGATGAAGAAGTTGGTGATGGGGGTGGGGTGATTTGGGTTAGTTGTTGGGGGTGGTTGGAGTGGGGGTAGTGGGGCGGTGGGATAATAGGGTCCTGAGGATTTGGTTGGTGGGGGGTTGGGGTCGTGGCGGTCTTTGGGCAGGGGGGGGGTGTGGGGGGGGGGGGGGAAAGCGGGGTTTGGAATTGGGGGGGGGCTTATTGAGGTATATGGGTATAGTGGGTGTGGGTGGGGTGGTGTTATGGATATTAGTGTGTGGGTATGGGTTTGTGTTTTGTTTGTGTTGATTGTGTTTTGTAATATCTAATCAAATGTATTTACAATGAATAAAATAAAATAACCTAAAAAATATAATTAAAACTAACCAAAAAACACATGCATACCTATACATATATTTTATAAAAAAGGTATATTCTGAATCAATTATAATATTTATTATACATAATCTGTTCACAAAATAAAAAAAAGCATGTAAAAGAAATGCATAACATGAACATGAAATTATACAATCAAGCCCAAAAAGAGATTCACCTTCAGAATTTCCAACATTTTATTTAATTTCTCTCTTGTTCAGTCAGATTTTCCTTCTTCCCCCCCCCCCCCGGAACGAACTTAGCACTTTAATGGCCGCACGTATACGCAGTAAAATGTTGCCAGGGGCCAGCAATATTTTTGAAGAATTAATTTCAACAAATTCTACCAATAACTCTCAATGACTAACCCTTGGCGGTAACATTGCACACATATTGTGTGAGCGGCCACTAAAGTGTTATATGTTACTACTAGTTTTATGTCTTTTTTACTTAATCTTTTAAATGATAGATTAAAATGCACTCTGATTAGGCTTTGATTGATAAACATTGTTTCCCTTTTTCCCCCTCCCAACCATGGAATTCCCATAAAAAGGGAACATTTTCACCAAAGTGAAAACCCTGTCCACCATAGTTGTCTTCATAAAAAAAAAATAAGTAAATGAAAAAGATTTAATATGAGAAGGAGTTAGTCGAGGGTGCGGTCAAATAAGAAAAAGATTTAATAAATAGACAAATATAAATATCAGTTTATAACTCACCTTTACTGAATGTTCTTCCATGATAGTATCGACAATATTTCCAAGCCTCTTTTTGAGAAGAGAAACAACCTGGCTAAGGTAGTCAGGTTGCTCTGAATGGTCAGAGCCAGCAGCTGGCACAACTTTTAAAATATTGCAGTCTTCTAGTTGAGACTAGAAATTTAAAAAAAATTATCTAATAAATTTAAAAGTATTTTCACAGATCATTCATTAGTCTTAATGAGAATAATTTAAGATTGATTTATCTTATAGAAACATAAAAGTTTGTTTGTTTGTGCTTTAAGGCGTACAACCCTAGGGTCATCAACGCCTGAGTCTGTTATTTTTCTTGTCTGTAGAGTTCAGAAACTCCTTAGGAGAGAAAAAAAATGAATAAACAATCCAAAACTAATAATAAATAAATAGAATAATAAATGAAAAATATTTATATGAAATGAAAAATATAAATATAAAAAAAATAAATGAAAAAAATTATAATAAAAAAAATACGTACATAAAAAAAATCAATAAAATAAAAATTATATTTATTTTTAATTTTATTTAACAGCCTATGGGTTTTAATGTTTGATTCGTTATTGTTTAATGCTACTGATATATCCGGGCCTAGAAATAATCTGTTTAAGCTTGAGGTATAATCAGGGCATTCTTGGAAAATACAACTGATAGTGAAAAGGCTATTGTAGTATTTACATTTTGATGGTTGCTGTTTAATAATGAGATATAAATGAGTTAAAATGCTCTTTAAACGAAAAATGAATTAAATTTTTAATTTAATTAAATTACTCATCTACGTGAAACGTGAGATTAAAGAAAACGAAAAATGAATTCAATTAAAGAGAAATAAGGAAGTTTTCACAACAAAAAAATAATAATAATTAAATAAATTAACAAAAAAAAGCAATAATAAAAAAATGGATGGAGTACTGAGAGGAATAGTATTGAGGGTAGGGCAAAGCTGCTTTGGATGTTTTAATAAATTCAGAATTTGGGAATAGGCCAAGGATAAGTTTTGTTTATCTGTTTTTAGATTCACTGTCTTTGGTTGAAGCTGGATGTGGAGGGTTTCAGAGATGAGTCATTTGTCATGGTTAGCAACGGAGGCAAGGAAGAAAGTTTTGTCTAAATCAAATGTATGGTTTAGGGAGAGAGTGTTCGGATAATTTGGAGGCGGTAAATTTACGAGAGGATAGATAATATTTAGATTGGGTGATGCAGTCTTATAGGAGATTTTTGGTTTCACCAATATAAGATGAAAAACAATTAGAGGTGGAACATGGAATACGGTAAACGATATGAGAGTGGTGTGAAAGAGGAAAAGGATCTTTTAGGGATGTGTATAAATTAGAAAGAATTTTGAGTTTAAAGGAAAGTCGTAAGTTTGGGTAGGTAGATCGTAAAACTTTGTTTTTGTTGTCAGAAAAATCAGGAATATAACGTAATGATCTGTATATGGCAGTCCGAAGTGGATAATGTGGAGAAACAGTAGAGATCGAGATTGAAGAAGAGCGATTTTTCAATATAAAAGTACTACATCCATTTTTTATTTTTTATTAATTTTTTACATTTCATTTTATTTTTTATTTTTTTTATTTTTTACCGTTGACAAATTCCTCATTTCTATTTAATTGAATTCATTTTTCGTTTCTTTAATCTCACGTTTTGCGTTTATTTCAGTAATACTACACTATCGTTTATATATTTATTATCTATGCATTATAATATCTCCAAATACCCTATTTCCATTCTCTTTCAATTACACATTTATTTAATAGCTCATAGAATTTATAAACCTCTCGTCGATTACATACGTTTCTGTGCTTTAATTCACGTATTTCAGTTAACCGTTACAGAGGGCCCTACGTAAGTATTTTAGTAACTATGTCATCCTATTTATATTTTGTTTACACTTACGTTTTCTATCTCATATTTTCTATTACTTTTCGTTATTAATTCATATTTCATTTCTTATGTTACCTTATTTTTATTATGTTTATTTCATTAGTCCCTACTTTGTTGCCGTTATTTATTTCTTAGTTTCCTGTTACTGTTATTATTCTACCTACTTTATTTTACTTATAAAGTATAAATATACATATTTATTTTTACTTTTCTTTTTTGACTGATTACCTCAGCCATTCTTCTCTTTAATTATTCACTACAGTCAACCATCAATCCATAATTTACTGCAACAGTTTGAAGACGGGAGTTAATTGGTTCGGAATATACGGATTTGTGAATAGCTATTAACACTCCGTGATGACTGTGGTTAGGATTTGGGCTAGTAAAATTATTATTTATTGTAAGGTGTGTCACTTGAGAGAAAAGGCAGAATGGGTCTGTATCTTGTATTAATATTTTTAAATCATTAAAGTGAGATTTTAAGCCGTTGCAGTTCCACTGAAGTACCGACATGATTAATTAGGTATTATATACTTATGTATAAACACACACACATAATTATATACACACACAAGCCCACACAAATGCAAATATGTACACATCCATACATTCAAACATACACATGTTCATTATTTATGTTCGACTATTGCCGCACGATATATGGAGGCGTCTCTGGGGATCTCGAAGCGAAACTAAAACGTTTGACAGACTGCTTTGTATGATTCATCTTCGGAATCCCAAGGGATGCCCCTGTTTCCCGTTTCTATGAAGAGTTGAAATGGCTTTATCCTTCCTACCGCCGTAAGTATTTCCTGGCATCCTTCCTCTCCTAAGTCATTCACTCCGGCTGCCCTTCATACATCTCTGAGCTCCTTCAATTTAAATCTTCTGTCCACCCCCGCAATGCCCGTACCCGGTCTTCAGATTTATATATAATGGTCCACCGAACCGCTGCTATCGATAAATCTTTTATTATTCGATCCTCATCCTTATGGAACTCCATCCCTCCCGACATCCGTCGCTCCAATACTCTCCCTACTTTTAAATCCCGCCTATACAATCACTTTCTTTCCATCCAGTCCCTCTAAAATTGTAAACAGAAACTTCTGTAAATATGTATATATATTATAAGTTTATTTTCAATTATTTTCATCTCTTTGTTCTTTCATTTATTTACTTTTTTCTTAATCGATTTAATCTTGAAGATAACTTTTTTTTCTTTATTCTCTATTATATCTATTAGTTAACTTTCTAGATACACGTATATGTATCTGAGGCTCAAAAGCCCACATTTCTGTGCTTGTTAATTATTCTAAAGGGATTCGTCCCAGAATAAATAAAAGATTATTATTATTAATAATAATCGGGTGTGACGTTTTAAAACGCGCAGGCCTTAAGATAAAGATTAGGAACTACGAAGTAACGGCGGTAGAGAGTAGCGGATGTATGGAAGTCGGAGCTGTAGATTTGATTAAAGAGTCGTTAACACACTTAGTCGGGTAAAACGAGGAGTTATTCTACCGCGAAAACGAATTCCTACCAACCACTGGCCGAACGGTGCACAGAATAAATTTGAAATCACAAGCTCCAGTTAACGTCAAAAATTGGCGTTACTCAGTCTATGAGAGATATTATCGGAGAACAATTGGCAGAACTCTTTAAGCAGGGTATCATAAGGCAAAGTAATTCCCCTTTAATAGCCCTCTGTGGGTAGTAGAAAAGAAGCAGGGCGGCAACGCGAAACAGTATCGAGTCGTGGTGGACTATAGAAAACTGAACGAGGCGACTAAGGACGAACGATATCCCGTTCCCTAGGTCGAGGATATTCTCGATTGACTACCGGGGGCAACTATTTTTAGCACATTGGATTTAAAGAGCGGATATCACCAGGTTCGGATGGCCGAGGAGGATATTAGTAAGACGGACTTTTCGTGGGAAAGGGTACATTTTGAATTCGTTTGAACGCCTCATGGACGAGCTGCAGCGAGGATGGGGCGAAACCTACACACAGGTTTATATGGACGACCTAATCGTTTTTAGTAAAACGAGGAGGATGGCGTGAAACACCTCAAAAGCGTTTTCGAGAAGGTACGCGAGTTCGGAAAAGTCCCAATTCGGATTGCTGGAAATCCGGAGCGGGTAAAGGCCATCCAGAAAGCCCCATTACCTAAGAACGCCAGTGAGGTCAGGCGATTTTTAGTTATGATATACTATTATCGAAAGTTTATACTCCGGCGTAACACAGCTTCTCTACACCTCGTTCCACCGAGCTATTCGATCAAACAGGGACCCACCTTTCTCTTTAGGCCAACTTCCCGGCACCAGCTATCCATGCCGGAGAAATTCCATTGACCAGTCAAGATAATGTTGGAGATTTTTGACCACGCGTCCCCATACTAGCTTTCCCCATCTTCGGCTAAACTCATACCAAACCGCCCACGTATGCCAGCGAGCAGCTATTCGGGGTCTTGCATTTCATCACACTTCTACGATTCAAGAACTACCCCTCCACACCCAAACACACCATCAATACAACAAAACTTTCAACATCAACAAACATTACCAAACATCGTCAAAAACTTTCCTCATCACACAAAAATACTTAATGGAACCTCCAAATAATTACTCAAACACCACATAACACACATTGGAACTCATGCAAGAACACCAGAAATTCTTTAATAAGTCCAACTCAGCACAATTTCTTCATACAACAAAACATTATTGAAAAACTACAAAACCCCTCGTGACCGTTTACCATGAGCACAGTATCCGACACGCCAGCTTCACACCCCATTGTACCCGCAGATATTTATCACACCTAAACCACAGAAAACCCATCTCATTAACTTGTAACCTCCATAACTACCCACTCGATACCAATTGATTTTTTATTCCAAAAGCGGCTTCATACACAACGACCCACCGCCCACATAGAACACTGCAAATCCGAGTACCGACCACGTAAATGTCAGCCCACCACCCGTACCCTAAATAATATTAATAAATACATATCCTCATTTAAAATTACCACTTCTACCATTCAGTATTAGTGGTTAGTAGTAAGTCCAACCCCAATATATCCCTTAATGAACGAACGTTACCAAGTATAAATAAGATTTTCCTTCTAACAATGTTTATTAAGACTTGAGCATCTACCATACACAACTCTAGAACTACACTAAATAACAAATAATAGCTCCTAAATCTGTACATATAATATAAAAACATAATGACCAATCAATAACGCACCATACTAATTAAGACAAACATAACATTTACACAAGTACCAGCAAATCCGATGCTCTACGCTAAATATAAAACCCTACAATATACACCCCAAACTAAATTCAACACTAATCTCAAATTATTACAACTAATAATATTCCACTCCAATTCACCACTAAATTTCCAAAAATAAATCCATATCAAATAACTACTAATTCCCATCCACCATCCCAATAAATCAAACTTACACAAATACTAAAAACCTCTTACAAAACCCCTCTTTCAAATATACTACTAATATCCAATACTTAAATACCCTCCAATAACTCATTTTCATCAAATTAATCTAATCAAAATCACAACCAACACCATCAATTATCACTTACCAAATTCATTACACTTTCTAACTCCAACATTCTAACCTATCAATCCCCACCAAACATACCAAACCATACTTAATCACCAACTAAATATATCTAAACTATTCCCCACCCTCACCCTATCTAATTATAAATATCTAAAATTAATACACCACTCTCCAACCACTAATCCAACCCCTCACACCCACCTCCCCACACCCCTCCCCCCATCCTAACAAACACTCACACCCACCCCCCCCCAAAATCAACACACACTCACCCCCCCACCCTCAACACCCTCACCTCCACCCCCTCCCTCACCCCCACACAACCCACCTCCATAAAAATACCCCCAATCAACCCCAACTCCATCCCATCCAAAACACACCTCCCCAACCACCCCCCACACACAACCCCCCAACCACCCCAACACACCACACCATCACAAACCCCCCCCCCACACAACCCCATCCAAACCCCCCACAAAACACACAACCAACCAAACCCCCCCCCCAACACCCCCACACCCCACCCCCACAACCACCCCCCCACACACCCCCACCACCCCACACACCCCAACCCCCCCACCCCCACACACCACCACCCCCCACCCCACAACACCCCCCACCCACCCAACAACCCCCCCACACCCCCCCAACACCCCCCCCCCCCCCCCCCCCCCCCCCCCCCCCCCCCCCCCCCCCCCCCCCCCCCCCCCCCCCCCCCCCCCCCCCCCCCCCCCCCCCCCCCCCCCCCCCCACCCCCCCCCCCCCCCCCCCCCCCCCCCCCCCCCCCCCCCCCCCCCCCCCCCCCCCCCCCCCCCCCCCCCCCCCCACCCCCCCCCCCCCCCCCCCCCCCCCCCCCCCCCCCCCCCCCCCCCCACCCCCCCCCCCCCCCCCCCCCCCCCCCCCCCCCCCCCCCCCCCCCCCCCCCCCCCCCCCCCCCCCCCCCCCCCCCCCCCCCCCCCCCCCCCCCCCCCCCCCCCCCCCCCCCCCCCCCCCCCCCCCCCCCCCCCCCCCCCCCCCCCCCCCCCCCCCCCCCCCCCCCCCCCCCCCCCCCCCCCCCCCCCCCCCCCCCCCCCCCCCCCCCCCCCCCCCCCCCCCCCCCCCCCCCCCCCCCCCCCCCCCCCCCCCCCCCCCCCCCCCCCCCCCCCCCCCCCCCCCCCCCCCCCCCCCCCCCCCCCCCCCCCCCCCCCCCCCCCCCCCCCCCCCCCCCCCCCCCCCCCCCCCCCCCCCCCCCCCCCCCCCCCCCCCCCCCCCCCCCCCCCCCCCCCCCCCCCCCCCCACCCCCCCCCCCCCCCCCCCCCCCCCCCCCCCCCCCCCCCCCCCCCCCCCCCCCCCCCCCCCCCCCCCCCCCCCCCCCCCCCCCCCCCCCCCCCCCCCCCCCCCCCCCCCCCCCCCCCCCCCCCCCCCCCCCCCCCCCCCCCCCCCCCCCCCCCCCCCCCCCCACCCCCCCCCCCCCCCCCCCCCCCCCCCCCCCCCCCCCCCCCCCCCCCCCCCCCCCCCCCCCCCCCCCCCCCCCCCCCCCCCCCCCCCCCCCCCCCCCCCCCCCCCCCCCCCCCCCCCCCCCCCCCCCCCCCCCCCCCCCCCCCCCCCCCCCCCCCCCCCCCCCCCCCCCCCCCCCCCCCCCCCCCCCCCCCCCCCCCACCCCCCAACCCCCCCCCACCCCCCCACCCCCAACCACCACCCCACCCCCCCACCCACCACCCCACCCCCCCCCCACACCAACCCACCAACCCACCCACCCCCCCCACCCACCCCACCCCACCCCCACCCACACCCACCACCCCCCCACCCACACCCCACCCCCCACCCCCCCCCACCCACCATCCACAAACCACATAAAACAAATTATACAAAAAATGGTATATGATAAAATAACCAATGAAAAAGAAAAACGAACAGATAAACTTAACGAAAATAGAGAAGAACCACCAGAATTGCATGAAGCCACCATATATGTAAAAACTTCTAAAGTTAATAGTAAAAATAAAAACCTTTAAAATAAATTAAAAATTAATTAAGAGCATGTCAATAATATAAAACGTCCTAATAAAAAGAAGAAATCTTATATTCGTGTTTCAGATGAAGATCTTAATCATTCTTCAACTACTATTCATCCAATGTAATTCGTTAAAAATACAAGATTTAACACAATCCCCAGGTATTCTTCATTATACTGCAAATGATATTAAAGTTATTGATACTTACTATGAAACGTATCATTATTACAAGAACGACTTAATTTTCAATGAAGTTAATAATCTTCATACCTTATTAAAACAATTTAATGAGACCGATATTTACGATATTTTATTAAATAACATACAGACTGTAGAAAATCAATTACGAATTTTAAAATATACCCCAAAAAATAAAAATAACCTTAGAACAAAGAGAGGACTAATCAATGGACTCGGTTTAGCTATATCATGGTTAATAGGTAATAGGGATGCAAACGATAAAGCATACTACGAGAGTGATTCAAAAGACACTGGGTAATACAGTTCAAAATAATATTAACGAGAAAAACTGATTGATAAATATGAAGATGTAAAAACTATCAATAATAATGAGGATGTACTGGTATCTGTTATTCAGGTTTGACTTTTATTCTTTTCAAGCTGATATAATTGCCTTATGATCAGTTTAAATTAATCAAATTAGTCTTTGATTGTAATTTATTGAACGTTTTGGAGATATATTCGTCCCCCTAATCAGCAATTTGTGCATTCAATTAATAACAGAAGAGGGGGCCGAAGGTTCCCCGAAACATTCAATAAATTACAATCAAAGACTAATTTGATTAATTTAAACTGGCCATGATGCAAATATACCTAAGGTAATATTTAACATTAAAAATAGTTTTAATCAGAAAATAAGAACATTATTGTTTAATGATACACTAATACTTGTAATGCTTCAGATACGAATGAATAAAAATATTAATTAATAAATGTGAAATTTAAATTATGAACTATTGATTACCTTACATGTAGCCTTCAGAAGTTCTAGCCTTCTCTTCAGTTCTTGGTCACCTAATAAACAAATAAAAAATAAAGGAGACCCTAAACCACACCTTTATAGATTAAAATGGATAGTAAGAATCTCATACCTAACTAATAAAATATAATATAAAATATTATAAACAAATAAATTTTCAGACCCTCTTCTATCACATCCTTCCAAAAAAAAATTCTTATTAAACAGCAATATTTTTCATACAAATAAAAAAATATTGGTACATGATAGGCTTTCATGCAAAACTTACTGTTTCAAAAATCAAAGAAATCACAAAAAGAAAACAGCTTAGTTTCAACTATTGTGGTTTAAAAATTGTTTTAAGATAAAAAAAAAAAAAGTAAGGTGATAATTATAGGTTTTCGGGGTACCACAGTACAAAGAATTACTGTACCAACTAGAGACAATGGAATATGACACCTTTAATAAGATGACACATTTAATAATCTGAGCTGCATAGAGATAGGGAATATCACTACCAGTTTTTGTGCCAACTTTATAAAGTACAAAGGGTGACAAACCCGAAGCACAAACAGAGAAACACTAGTAGATCCAGCAGGGGGCACCCTCCCCCCTTCCCTCTGGAAGCTGGATAACAATTCTAAAAAAAGTTCCAAAAAGCAGATATTTAAAGGAAAGAGAAATATAGAGAAAATTCATCCTCATAGACGAATTTCCTGATGTAACATATTAAAAAAAAATGATTATCGTGACCAAACAAGCCAATTCTGCCAGGGAGCGCGCCCCCACCCTTGGATACTGAAAAAATAATTCCGAAAAAAAAGTTCCAAAAACAGTTCTTTAATGAAGATAGAAATATAGGAAAAAACTATCCTCTAAGACGAATTTTCTAATGCTTATTAGCGGATCCAACAAGCGGGCGCACCCCTCACACCCCTGGATGTTGGCAAAAAAAGTTCCAATAAGCAGCTATTTAAAGAAAAGAGAAATATAGGCTAAATTAATCCATATAGACGGGTTTTTAAATGTAATATTAAAAAAATGATTATCATGACTAGTAGTAACGGATCCAGTCGGGGGGAGAGGGGGAGGGCGTCCCTTTCTCTCTTGGATGGTGGAAAAAGAAGTTCCGAAAAAAGTTCGAAAAAGTAGCTGTTTAATTAAAACAGAAATATAGGAAAAATTCATCTTCTAAGACGAATTTTCTAATGTGATAAAAAAAAATTATTATCGTGACAAAACAGCTGATCGATCAGCTGGTGTGTAAGCTTGTGTTTCCAACTCAGCTCTTATTATTTACTGTTCTTTCAGAAGAATATCTGTTATTATACACTTAAAACAAGTCAAGGATACACCAGAAACTTTATATTTACTGTGTAAAGTTATCAACATATAGATTTTTTTTTTATTATTACCACAGTCATCACTTGTAGAGTGGCTAATAAGCGATCTAGGTCGTTAGGCTCGACACCTCAATCTTCTCCTGTCAAACAAAAGTCTCGTAAATCTCGTCAAACACCTCCAATGACACCTGTTAGCTCCGAACAACATGAAATCTAACCAGGTTCATCACCACAGGAGAACATTGAAGAACCTCATCCTTAACCAGGTACATCATCGCAAGAATCAAGACAATTGAAGAATCTCCTTTTTTTACACACAAACACTACCAGATACTTCAGAATGACAATGTGGTAATAGAAACCGCACCGATACTAAGAGACACCAGACCTCCCCCGATATTCGTTAAGAACATAAAACATTTTCAGTTACTATATTCACAACTAAAACAACAGGCTCCGGAAACTAATCATGTCCAAGTAGAACAAATGACACCAAAATATCACCAGATACAGGTGAGACCTATAGAAAATTTGTGACGAATCTAACAGAGTCCTGAGGAGATTTTCACATGTATCAATTGCGGCAGGAGCGAGCATTAATTAAAAGTAGAATAAGAAACCTACACCCCTCAACACCAACTGAAACAACAGAAGAAGAACTGAAAACTTTAGGTTTCAAAGTGTGCCAAATAACAAATGTTCTAAAGGAGAGTAAGAAATAGCCATGAGTAAAAGTTCCTCTACTACTATTTTTTATAGACTTGGAACTGACTCCAGTGATCGAAAAAAATTACGAAATAACTAGATTATACTACACAAATGTAAAATTGGAAAAACCGTATCATAGGAGGAATATCATCCAGTACCACAATTGCCAGGCATATGGCCACACGAAGACTGTATTGTCATCATTTGCCGCGCTGTGTATAATATGGTGGGCAACACAAAACTGGTGAGTACACAAAACCTAATCAAGAACCTGTAGTTTGTGCTTTGTGCCATGAAGAAAATCCGGCGAACTACAAAGGCTGCCAGATATATAAAAATATTAATCCACATACCAGAAATCCAGATACCAAGAAGAAACTGAAAGATCCGAAGGTTCAAGAAAAGAACCTTCCAAATCATAGATCCAACGGTGTATTTTTCACACCTATTAGGAGATAAGAACGAAACTACATATTGTGAGACCCTGCCGCAATAACAATATATACCTCAAAATTCTCAACCACACACTCAACATCCTACTTTTCAAACTTCAATTAATCCTCAACAATTTTATGAACACCAAATTCCTCACATTCCGCCTCCATCAAGTACTACAGACCTTACCAGTTTACATACATATTTCCTTTCTGAATTCAGATCCCTTGTTACTGCTTTGATATCCCTTCTCACCATCTTGTGTTACATTTTATCCCTCCCCCAACAAATTCTTAAATTATTTACAATAAATCTATATCCATTCTCCTGTGCGAATGGTATTAGAAATCATAGAACTATTTGCATTATTGCTTGACAAGAACATTGACGTGGCACTAATTACTGAAAATCGGCAAACCAAACATCTCTTCAAAATACCACATTCCCCGACATATCAATACTGACTATCCTGACGGTAGAATACATGCTGGTACTACTGCCATTGTACACCAATCCCTTTCCCATCACCTACTCCCATTACCTAAACAAGATTTCCTACAATCCACCGCTATCATAATAAAAACCTTCTCCTTTCCGGTTATCCTCGCGTCATTGCCCTCCTAACCGATCCATATCCAAGGCCCAAATCAGTTCTCTCCTAAACTCCTTAGGGCATCACTTCATCATGGGTGCAGACTTAAATGTCAAGCACCAACAATGGGGTTCCAGAAGCACGAATTCTCGTGGCCGAACCTTACTATCTGCACTCAATTCCCAACGTTTTCACCTCCTTTCCCCTAACTCTCCTACTTACTGGCCCACAGATCCTAACCGTAATCCTGATATCCTTGATTTATTTATCCACAATTGTTCCATTACACATCTAAATGGACTTTCCTCTGGTCATAGTCAATTCTTAATGTTTCACTTGAACCCGTTCCTAAACCTTCTCCTCCACCGTCATATCAGAGGCCCAGTTAACTGGGACTTTTTTCACCATATCCTATCCGATAAAATTGATCTCAATATATCCCTAAAAACTTCCGATGACCTAGGTAGTGCCGTAAATTTCTTTACAACCACAATTAAACCAGCTGCCTGGACTGCCTCCTCCCAAAAGACTCCTCGAAAGAATTCCTAAAAAGGCCATTCTACCCCAACACCTCCATGACGTAATCCACATCAAACGTCGTATCAGATTATTATGGAAACGTGCTAGACATCCCACCGACCATAGCTCCTATAATTATTACTGTAAAAAATTAAAACTGGAATTAGTCACCTTTAAATCACAATCCTTTAACTCCTACCTCTCCTCCCTCTCTCCTTGTGGCAATTCTCTTTGGAAAACCACAACAAAAATCCTAAACCCAGACCAAATTTCCCATCCCCTCCGACGAAAGGACGGCTTCTGGGCAGCGTCTGACGAAGATAAAGTCGAAGAGTTCGCCAAACACCTCTCCAATACATTTGTTCCCCTTCCGGATTCCCATTCCGCCCACACCGTAACATTAGAAGGATTCCTAAATGTCACCTATCCCACTTTCTTTGCCCCCTAAAGCAATTCATCCCCCCAAAGTGAAATTTTAATTCCGAAAGCTTTAATTCCGAATCCACCGTAATTCTCCTGGATATGATCTCTTTACCCCTCAGATCCTTCGAAAACTTCCATCCAAAGCAGCCATATTCCTTACATACATCTACAATTGCATCCTACGTATCACCTACTTACCTCTATTATGGAAAGACTCCACTATTATCCTTTTCCTAAAACCAGGCAAACCTCCCAACAGCTTGTCATCCTATATACCAATTAGCCTACTCTCAATTCTTTCAAAAATGTTTAAAAAGATCCTTTTGAAACGAATCCTACCCCTTATAGACTCCCGAAATCTTCCTTCCATCAGTTTGGTTTTCGCTCAAAACATTCCACTGTTCAACAAAGATTTAGAGTCGTTGGTCATATATCAGCAGCCCTTGAAAACAAGCAATACTGTTCGGGTACATTTCTAGACACAGTACACAGGCTTTTGACCGGGTATGCCACCCCCGGCTGCTTGTCAAGCTTAAAATCCATTTCCTCCTTAAAATCCTCTCAGTCCTTATACCTAATATTTCGATCCCACCTCTCAGACAGCTCCTTTTGAGTACGCTAAGGACAGGATTTCCCTATATCTATCGAATTACAACCGGTGTTCCCCAGGGCAGCATCTTGGGTCCCGTGCTTTACATCCTGTTAATTGCTGACATCCATGCTCCGATAGATTTCTTGCAACCTCTCCCTGATTGAGCACTGGAGCGATAAATGGTGCATTAAGTGAATGAGTCGAAATGCAAACATATTACCTTTATTCTTCGACACAACTCCTGTCCACTAGTACACTTTAATTCCATCCAGCATCCTTACTCAGACACAGTGCGGTATCTTGGCTTTCTCTTATACCGAAGACTAGCATGGAACCCACATACTAGACTTAAAAGACAAGAACTCAATCGACGATATGGCAGCTTTATGGACTACTGAACAGAAAATCTCAACTTTCAATTGACAACAAATTACTGATCTACAA